GCTTTAGAGTCACCATGGAGATGCTATACAGCCTTTGGTCAAAAAAAAAAGTAAAAAAAATGTAGAGAATTGCTTGCTAGAGTAGCGCAGGAGGAAATTCATGGCTGGGGCAGAGGCTGGGCTCTCATTGACTTTCATGGGAAGGGTGACTGCTGCAGAAGGTGCGGAGGGGATGCTCGGTGCCAGTGCCCCACTGGTGAAGAGGCAACGTGAGACCTCTCATCCTGGTTCCTCAGCTGAGTGGAGCGAGACCTGGGGTGCCGGAGGCTTTTCATGTGCTGCTATCAGCCCCTCCTAGACATTTACATTAAAGCAAACACTTCTGTACGGTGACCCCCCAGCTCCTCTCTCCATCCATCCCATGGGGGCACCAGCCAAGAGCTGGGAGCTTCATTCTTGGGAGGCGGCCAAGGCTGTTGGGACACGCAGCCCACCTTCCCGCTCGGAGGAGACCTGTTTATCACCCAGTCCAGTGGTTATTTGATCTGAAGTTTCAAGTGGGTCCCTAATCCAGCCACACACTAAATCCAAATCCAGTTTAAGCATAAGTGACTTTGAAGCACAACTGCTGTGATTAGGCTGGATTTTCTATGGTACTTAGCTGCCTAAAGATGCAGATCAGTATTTAGCTGGCTTTCAGAGGTGCCTGGGAGTAAATCCACAAAAAAGATGGAGGTGCTCAGGGTGGCGGTGCCTGACATGGGTGCTCCAGGATAAGGTGAGCTTTGGCTTTGCTTGTCTGCTGAGGGAGAAGGGCTTTTCTGAGGGGTTTGGACCCTCTGGCTGTGGCTGTGCCTCCAAGGGCAGGCAGGCCAGAGCACGGCTGTTGCTGTGAGCCTGATGTTTGCCCCGATACCTCCAAGCCTGGTGCAGTTTGTACCCAAGATGGCCAGCACTGTAGTGCAGGCCAGAGGTGGATGATGCCACTTGCTATTTTTGGGGTGGCAGGAGTCGGGTTTAGCCACGTGCGCAGAGCAGCCTCGCTTGACACCCATGTTGCCAGGTCGGGGCACTGGCCGGGGTTATTCAGCAGTGCGGAGGCCACCTTTCCAGCTCTGTCCCATCACCCAGTCCTGCCACAGTGGTGGCAGGCACCCCCACCTGGTGGCAGCCACCCACACCCCCTCCCTGGTGAGGGGCCACAAAGGTTGGGTGAGGGTCGGGAGCATGCAGGGCACTGGGATCTAACCAGGGACGCCCAGTCCAGCCTTATATTTTTAGCTGCCTAATTGCAAGAGCAGAATGTACTCGGCTTTGCTGCAGGATGCTCCCGCTCGGTTCCTGGCAGAGATTGATCTCGAAATGCCAATTGCTCTCCAGGGGCACCGGCTCTAATGAATTGCTACAGTTTGCGCTCGTCCCAGGCATCAGTGCTTCCTCCCCCCTGCTTCCTGAGCAGCAGAGTAATGAGACACCCAGAAAAGGCATTGTTTTTCCTTCTCCTGCGATGAGGGTAAAAAATCTTCACAGGAGTGCATATGTGCATGTGTGTGTGCCAGCACAGGCTTTTCTCCGGCAGCGCTCATGCTGTGCCCTGCAAAAGGAGCGCGGTAAAAAACAGCCTTTTACAGTTGTCTCCCTGAGTTTATTGGCTCCTTGCAGGCTAGTTTCTGGCAGGAGGAGTTATTAAAGCCTGTGAGGAGTGAAGCAGCTTGCAGACACCCTTGAGATGTGTGAGGTGGTTTAGCAGCAGGTTTGCCAGCCAGCACCTGCACGGGATGGCCAGGAGTTGATTCTCCTTTGTGGGGTTGGGTGGGAACGTGGTGTTTTGGGAACCCAGTGTGCTAGGGGATGCAGTGACAAGGCCAGCTTGGGCAGGCGATGCAGGGAGCCCACACCCCAAAATGCAACGTGAAACACAAGGAGAAGACACAGTGGGGAACCAGCTCCTGCATGAATGAGAGTGTGGCCGCGCCACTGCTGCCGAAGGACCCTGCCTCGCAGGAGGGGCAGGCAGGGATGTAGGCAGGGGAGAGCAGCCAGCGTCTCGTTAGCTTGCAGGGGATGACGCTGAAATGATGACGTTCTCCGGCGCACTTCTGCCTTGCCTGTGCCCCTGCCTGCTCTGCAGTGAGAGGGGAATCAGAAGGGTGAGTTATTGCTGGGAGCAGAGGAAGGCTGGTGGGCATCTTCTGCCCACTGCTGATGGCTCCTGTGGAGAGGAGCGCTAGCTTCTGTGCCCTGCTCCACACTGCGCCAGCCTACCTGAGTGTGGGTTTCATGGGGATTAAAAAAAATGCCTTTTTTTGCCTGTTTTCCTCAGGACGCTGAAGACCTGCTCCTTATGGAGGCATGTGCCTGGGCATGGAGCAATTTGAGCAGCAAGGCTGTAGTGCAGCAGCAAGTCCCCCCAGAGGTCTTGAGGTGGCTGCAGGTTATCCTGCCTTGCCAACTCCTCTCATGGGGGATTTGGAATAGCCAGTGTGAGACTGGTGGGCCATGATGGGGGCAGCTCAGATCTGGCGGAAGGCTGGGAGCATTGAGAGGGGGTGGGCAGCAGCAAGGGAGGACTGGTCCAAGGATGCAGGTGGGAACTTCACACATGCAGAAAAGTGAGTGAATGAACCCACTCTAATGAGCCTAAGAAATGCTGCGGCAAGCAAGCCCCTGGCAACGCTCCAGAGCCGTCAAAGGGATTCACCTGCGGATGATTCTGGCCCCATGCCTTTCTGGGGCCTTTAGCCAGCAGCTGGATCTCACCCAAGCATGCACAAGCCCAGCAGAGCTGAGACTCCCCCAGTCCTGATGGGTGTTGGGAAATCCCCCCACTATTCTCACCCATGGGCAGGGGATGCCTGCCTGCTGCCCAAGCTGCCTGCTGCCCCAACTGCCTACTGCCCCAGCAAAGCCGGACTGGGAGAGGTGATACAGAAACCAATTTCCTTGTTCATTAATGCCTGTGGTGAGTTACAGCACCCTCACATTCTACCCCAGCTACTGACCTGCTCACTTGTGCACCCATGGGTGCAGCGCTGCAGACCCCAGCATGCCTGTGCTGTCTCAGCGTTGTATGATGAGGATGGTGACACAGTCTCACTTGAACAAGGAATTAAAATATGTTGATCCTGTGAATTAAAACAAGGCTTGGTGAGACAGCTGACTGCATTGCTCACCTGGACTCCAAGCAGAAGTGCTGTATTTTTGCTGTGCTGTGATAGTGACATGCCAATCACACTGCTGCTGTCAGGCATCTCAGCCCATTGCTTGTGAATCAAGCAGAGCCAGGATGTGCCAGAGGCTGGATCAAAGCCACCCACTTCAAAAGCCACCTCTTGGGCCTTTGCTAGTTTTCCTTTTTGCATTTCAGAAGTTAATTTCATATTCACTTATGCGTTGGGCCAGTGCAATTTCTCCTCAGTGGTGGTGCAACACTGGGTTTGTGAAAGTGGTGACTCTGGACTGAGAGGCACATGGGATACTTCCTCTTTTTTTTTTTTCTTTGCTGACTTGATAAGAAAAAGGATGGCTGTGTTTCAATTGTCACTACACTTGATAATGATAACTGAGGAGATAAGTCATTTACCAGTATAAGGAGTGGGAAATGACTAATGGGACTCTAAGTTCTCTGTATTAATGGCCCTGGAGTACAGGTTGGCAGAGCAAGGAAAAGCAGATGAAACTGCCAGCTTTTTGGCTCCAGTCCTTTGGTACATGTCATTGCTCAGTTCAAAATGTACTTGGAAAATGACCCAGCCTATATGCAATTTCTATACCAAGTTCCTGAATGCAGAAAGCCACTGCCCAACCCGAGTCTCCATTTGTCCTCTGCAGCAAGCTGCGATGCTTAACTTCAGTTACAGGGAAAAAACCCAAAGCACAAGTGATTTGCAAACTAAGATCCACTGGATGGCAAAGCCACTTCTGAAATGCTGCCCCGTGGTGTTCATACTGAGGAGAGCTGGTGGTGGATGGACAGCATGTCTGCCTTGGTGGGCAAGGAGCTGTGGCTTTGGGGGGGCCAGCCTCAGGAATTTCTGCTACAAAGCCAAAGTACAGGGCTCTTCTTGCACTTCATGTCTGTGAAGATGAGGTGACTCCATCCCTGGCTTGCACTGTATTGTGTTGCATTTTAATTCCAGGGCTGCTGCTAACAATGTTTGAGCAGTCCCAGAGTATGAAGGGGTCAGCAACTGGGACACTATGTGCTGTGGGACTCTCATTTCCCTGTCACATTCATGCTCACATGGACAGCTTCCTCTCGGCTTGGGGAGTCCAGCCAGCCTGGGGTTTTGGGGTGACGGAGGGGGATCTCCAGTGGCAGATGGAGCAGCTTCATCTTCTCGAGAGAGCCCAGAGGCCAGTGTCTCCAGAGCTCTGCGCAGCCACTGCAGGTGTGAGGCAGGTTTAGCATTTTCTCCCACCTCTCCCTGTGGGAAGGATCAGTGCCATGTGTTACTGATCCTGCGCCTGCTCTACGCCCGTGCAGACCCCGCTCACCCTGGCCCTCCCAGGCCTGGGAGGACACGACCTCAGTTGGTCATCGGACCAGCGTTAGTGCACCTGTGTGTGCAAGCATGCACGCGTGTCTCTAACCAAGCAAGCCCACCTCATCCCCACTGTTGCCACACTGAACTGAGGCACGCCATGTGAATCCTTACCAGGCTTTCCTTGCTCTGCTCTGTGCATAACTTGTGCACACAATGCTCTCACATTGCTCCCCGGAGCAGCATGAGTGATGTGGCTTTGCAAAAGCAGGAGCATATTTGTATAAGTGTTGTCTCTGTGGCTTTTTTTCTCCTCCCAGTTAATTTGTGAAGATCTGAACAAACAGCCCTCAGGACAGGAAAGCTGATTGTGTCCTGCATGGCCACAGCGAGGTGTGTGGGAAGCTCTGACCCACAGACATAGTCAAAGTGTTTGGTAACTACAGGGAAAGCTGCCAGGCAGGCAGGGACTTCCCAACACGGTTGTCTTGATCCAACCACAGCACTCACAAGCGTCAAATTCTACAGCCTGGAAAAACAAGTAGAGGTCAGCCAGGCATGGCTCTGCTGTGTCACCCATCCCTGTCACCCGCAGCTGCTCTCTGTTCCTCTACCCAAAGGTCTCTGCAGCTACAGGCCCCAGTGTCCATGAGTGGCTGCTGTACCCTGCCTTGGTGAAACGATCCACTGCATCCCATCCAAAACCCCACGCTGACCAGCTCAGCTGCATCCCAGCAGCCAGCTGGCCACCCTCCCTGCTTGGCCCTGTCATGCACAGAAAACTGTGGGGTAGCAACCTGCAAACTGTGCAAAATGCATCAGGGAGGGACTCCAGCCTGAAATGGCCCAGAGGGTTTGGAAGAAGGGACCTGGCTGGTATCTGCCCTGGGTTTTGGCATTAGCTGACTAATCCAAAGTGTCCCACCGCCCATTCCTGCATGGTCTCACAGGAAAAACAGCCAGAGCACTTCTGAAATGAAGCACCTTGGGAAAGAAGCTGGTAGCATAGCTCACCTCAAAGCAGGCCAAGTCCTGAGCTTCAAACATCACTACACACAGCTTTGATATCTGCAGCTAAAGGGCATGTTGCTGTTTGTATCCTGGCAGACCTTTCAGTCTCCTCCAGTGCCTCAGTCTTGGAAAAGAATGGCTTTACTCAAGAGTAATAGAAATTCAATTCAGAGAATGTGAAGGCATGGTTTCCAGTCAGGTGTGTCATGTGCTGTGGCCTCATGGAGCAGTGTCCATAGGAAAGCTTCTTCCTGGCTGATGGAGAGACTCCATACACTCTGGGCAGACATTGCCCAGTCTCAACTACTCACCTAGTCATCCCCTCTTGTCCAGCTGAATGTATGACATTGTTGGGTCTGAAGCAGACAGTGAGCAGGAGCACTGCAGGGCTGTTTCAGTGGCAGCCGCCCTCTACTCTCCACCTTGGTTTCTCATGATTCCTGAAACAAGAGGGCAACATGGGCTATGGCTTTTAAAGGACCATACTGCCATGGCACTAAACTTCTAAACAGCTGCTTATAGCCTGAGGATGAGGAGCCTTTTGCCATGGCCCATGCCCTGTCATGCCCCTGGTGGTCCCTGTGAGGGACAGAGCATCCTCAGATTCTCTGATGGAGCAAGACTGGCCTAAGAACAGAGAGCTATCACAGCCACCCACAGCAGTCATTCATAAGTCTTGCTTTCTCTAACCTACATGCATATTTAAAGACCAATTAAATAGATGAAACCTTAAAATCCCATCTACTGTGCCTCTGCCTGAGCACAGAACCCAGTGCATCGGCATAGCGTAGTCCTGGAGGGCTTCCAGCTGCTGTCTGGGGAGTGATACTAAAACCCTGGATAGACTGAGTTGGAGGAGAAGGGAGCCTTGAACATCACTCCTTGACATGTGAAAATACTGGAGGAAACCTCAGCTTTCTCTCTGGTGGTTTCTAAACACAAAATAAGGTAGGCTGGGCTGAATAACCTGTGTGCTGTGAACCAGTAGCCTGTCCTGGAGCCAGCAGTGCCAGCTGGTGACCCAGCTGCTTGCTGAAGGGGCTCTCATGGCAGAGCTGCATCCATTGAGGTTTATCCTTACGCCCCCAAGAGGAAGCCTGGCCAGGCTGAATCCACTCAATTATGGTGACCCTGACTACCTGCTGGTGATGTTCTACCCAACAAGAAGAGGGTCTAGTGATGGCAAGTAAAGCCAAATGCCTTTGTGTGCTTTCCTTAGCTCATGCCAAGCTCAAATCCACTAGCTGACACCTCACCAAGCATTGCTTGGGCTCCTGAGTTGTTTTTTTGCTGAGCAAGTGGAGCCCTGGAGGTGGGAACTCATTAAGCAAGGGGACCTCTGAGCACTTGCAGAGTAAGGTTGGGTTTTTCATGGCTTACTGATGTAAAAAGCCATTCTTGAGCTGCTGGGAGCATGTACAAGAGGAGCAAGGAGCTGTCAAAAGAGCTTACTTTGCTTTTTACTTGTGCTTGTTTCCCTGAACGCTTGATGCTTTTCTGTGTTGCTGGACAATAATGTCAAACTGCCTCTTCCCATTGCAGCATCCCCATCTGTGATAATAGGAGCTGATACATTCCCATTAACGTGGGGCACAGTGCGGGTAACTCCTAATGGCTATAAAGTGCCTCGGAGACAGCAAGTGTAATAGGCAGCCTAATAATTAGCACTGTTATTTGATTACAAGCCTGGGTGGCTGGCAGCAGGACCGCCCAGTAATACTCTGAATCTCTTTGTCTAGTACCTGCCCCTGAATGGAGAATTCGTGCTGGCATCTGGTGCTGGATTTGCAGCTTTCGATGGCAGCTGGGATCCAGGCTGTGACTCAGGTATTTTGTGCCCAGACCAGTCCCCTATCAGCCCATGACTAATCATGCAAATTCAGCCCAAATGCTTCTACAAAGATCTTTGCTGTGTCCAACCTCAGAGCAAAGTGAATCACTCCTCTTTTAATACCTACGTCTTCTTTGATGACCTCTCTCACATCAGATCTTTCTTTTCTGCTAGATCACCTGTCTCCTAAAAAAAGTAATTACAGTAGGGAAGCCTTTGAAGCTATAGCAGAGAGGCAAATATTGCTTGTCTTTTACCCTGCCTGTTAAGCATGTAGCCACATCAAAGCCCTCATTTTCTTTGCCATGGTATATCTAAAGAAAACTGGTTGAGAATTACACACTGGTGAGCTGAACCACAGCCACTGCAGCAAGCTGGCCTTTGGCCCGATGTGTGCAGGCATTTTGGCATGAGCGCATCCTTCCCTCCCCTCTTAGCCTCCAGCCCAGGTTTTCTGTGACCGAGACAGCAGGTTTGTTTCATCGGTGCCTGTTATTACTCTGAAAGCTGTTTGCTAGGGAGATGTATTTTGGGATATTTAAGAGCTACCTGGTGCTTTCAGTGGCAAGTGACTTTTTAGTCTGGCCACAGGAAAGGAAGAGTACAAGCAGAGCGCCTGTGCCTGCGCTCTGACTGGCAAAATAAAAAAGGGAAAAAAGAGATAACAAGTCCAAACAGGTCTGCCCAGAGGAAGGACGGTAGCATCAGGCTGTCTGGAGCCACTCCAAAATCCTTCATTGCTATAATTTTCCTGTTTTGGGGCTGTTTGCCCGCTATCAGGGATGCTCTGGCAGCTGTGCTTTGCACTGAGCTTTCCCTGCTGGCCACATGTTGCTCCCCTGGAATCAATGGGCATTTCTTGGGCAACTTACACAAATGGATTTTTTTAAGTTTGATTTTAAAACTAATACAAATAATTCAGTCAATAAATGGCCACCTGCTAGCTGAATTGGTAGAGATTCAGCTGTTGGGAAGGGTGAAAAAGAATCAGGACATTGTGTTACGATACTAACTGTAACCAGCAGGGAAACGGTTAATGGTTACATAATTAGTGGTTAAATGGGGCACTGGTTTGGGGGTTACCCGCTGTGCGGAACAGGGCTGGTCACGTTTCTGCAGGCCTGCCAAGCTGCTTTGAAACTGGAGCATGAATTATCACACCCATTTTTATCTGGTTTAGCTGTTATTCAGCATTTGGGCAGCTGTTTTCCTCCCTAAACTTAAGGGTAACCTTTAAAGAAGTGAGGAGGAAAAATATCCCGTGGGATCTGGAGCCGGAAGCCTGCAGCTAGAAGTGGGGTTTGAGCTTTTTTGCTGAGACCCCAGCCCCGAGCCCTGAAAAGCTTTGCTGAGCTCCCGGAGGTGCCTGTGGCAGCTGCCTGGGAGGGTGACACCAGGGCCAGCCCTTTGCTCCCCACCCACAGGACAAGTTCCTCTGCTTTGGGCCAAGTAGTACCAGGTTTTACCAACCCACATGCATCCATCTGGATTTGGGTCCGGGTCACGCTCAGCCTTTGCTGTTGCTTTTCCAGGGGAGACAGTGAGGTTTGCCGATGCTGAGCAGCACACATGGTTTGACCCCAGGCTGTGGCAGGCTGTGTCCCCCGGCAGAGCGCTTGAGCCAAGCGGGCGCATCTTTTCTGTAGATGAAGAACGTGTCCCGTGCCACTACGACGATGTTATCTTCCAGCCTGAAACCTCCTTCCGGGTAAACATCGACTCGTCACAGCAAGTGATTAAACTCCGCAGCATCTCTCTCATGGGCCAGGTAACGTGGGGATGATGAGAAACCGGCTCGACACCTCCTCAGGTGTGGAAGGACAAACTGGGGAGGAGCAGTGATGTGTGGGGAGATGGGGCACTCCCATGGCGCTGCAGCTTCATGGGCTCCTGCTGCTGCAGATGGTCTCAATTTTTATCTCTGCCACTTTGTTATCACTTCCTTGTGGTGTGGGAACATGGACTGTCTCGCAATTCACATTTTTTACAAAAAGGCCAATGTGCATGGGTCAAACCACCAGCAAATGGCATCTTATCTGGCACCCAGGGGCTGTTCCCTTCCCAGGCATGTGTCCGCAACTTGTGCTGCTAAGGGACCCTCTGGGGACACCTCCCTCCTGCCCCTGACCTTAACATGGCCCGTGGCCCAGTGATCATCTCCCAGCTTTGCTCCGGTTCTGCTCTTTAATTGATTTGAGGGATAATTATAGAAACGCTAGCAGCCTGCTGTGTTTCAGCCTGGGAATCAGCACATGATGAGCCCCATCCCTTGCGGGTCAGAGGAGTGAAAGATCACAGGCGCTGCAACAGTAAACACAGGCTCCTTTCAGGACTCAGAGATGTGGTAGACATTTCATAAGTTATTATTTCTAGCGCTGCGCTGCTTGCGAGCTGCCATTTTGGGGCCAGGCTTTACGTAACTGCGTTTTGCCTAATAAACTCAGGCAGTGCCCAGGTGGGTGCAGACGAGTCTGGATGAGGCAGCACCCCAATGAAGCTCACCTCCGGCACACGTAGCCCCAGGGATGCAGACGTGGATGGTCTTGGGTGCTTGGAGTGATGTGAGTCCCGCTGATGCCCGGAGACTAACCCATAGCACATCATCCCCACCAAATCCACTCCCCAGGGACTGCAGCAGGCTGCGCCCCCGGGCAGAGGCTGCTGCTGAGCAATGAGAGAAGAGGAGAAGGTGCTTTTTATTTTTGTGATTCTAGCATACTTCCCCCAAAATGGCCTTATAAGCTACTTTGTCCCTTTGTACTGAGCCCACTCCTTGCTCTGCGTAGCATTCCAGGGCCTGAGACATCCTCCTGTTATGTAGAGGGATGGAGAAGGCTCTTATGGAACACAGCGGGTGAGGGAAGTACCAGCAGCTTGGTAGGATGAGGCTGCTCAGTCCAGCTCAACCTCTACTAATGCTGAGCCCACAGAAACCCTTCCCAGACTGAAGGAAAACACCTCAAATCTAGCCCCTTCCTGCCAGTAATTAAAAGCAGGCCACTTGAATTCTCTAGGCCAGCAGAAAGAGGAAAAGCAAGTAGAAAAAAAAAAAAGCCCAGCCATTTCATGATTTATTTGTGGTCCTTTTTGAGGGAGTTTTAAATTAGAAAGTGTTTCTCTGTTAGCCTTGTGAAAAAAACCAAATGGGCATACTGGCAGCATTTCCCTGCTGCGCTCGATGCCTACGATGGGGCTGCCCATCAGATGTGGCACCAGGTGTCCGGGTGGCCCAGAACGGGTGCCCGGGGACAGCGCTGGGACTGGCTGGGGATACTCACCCCCTTCACTGCTTTTCTCTGCACAGGAGCTCAGCAGCCCCGAGGCCTGGGCCGAGTACCTGCGGGCACCCTCTGCCCCGCTGCAGTTTCACGGCAACGGCACTCTCCAGGTGACAGGCACTGGCTGTCTCGACAAGTCTGGCTGCGCCTGCGGGAACGCCCCGGTTAGTCCTCCCATTGCAATTTTAAGAGAGTGCCATTGCAATTTGCAGGGTGAAAGACTGACGCTGCCCTGCTCTCCTTTAGGACAGCCACCGCATCTGTGCGGCCCTGCTCGGGGCGTCGGGGAGGCAGTGCCCAGCGCCGGCGTGCCAGAGCCCTTTGCAGCCTCTTGGCCACTGCTGCGGGGTCTGCGGTGAGTGGGGGGCACAGCCCAAATCCTCCTCCGCACCGTGATGGCTGCCCCATTCCCCTTCCTCTGGCTCTGCGGGGAAAAGCTGGGTGCAGGGGGTCCTCATGGCCATGGGCTGAAGTTTTGCTGTGTCGCTGTTTCCACGAGTCCCATCCATGGGTCCCATCCGCATCCCATTTGCCACCCTCCTGGAACATTTCTCTGAAGCATCAGCCTGGTTTTTAGGAGCCTGTTTTGAGTTTCAGCCCTTTGTCCCTACCTCTGGTTTATCCTTGTCAGGATGTCACAGCTCGTCAAGCTAATAGGGTTCTGCTGAGTTTATGCAATGGGAAACACTCAAAGAAAATGTACCTTTTTCACTGTAATGTCACCTTTTCCAACAGCAAGTTCATTTCATTTTGTTTAAAATAAAAACATGCAGATTGACAGCATTCCCCTGCAATGAATGGGTGCTTCTCCATTAATCTGCCTGGAAGGTTGCTGAGGGGGATTTTTCATGCATAATTGTACCTAGATATTTGGTGTATCGTACCAAATCCATTAAAATGGCACCATATGTTTCTCCAGTATGCTCCTAAAAGCAGAGCCCCTTAAAGCCTTTAGGAGAATTTCATATTTTGACAAATGCTTACTTGTGCTTTTGCCAAGGGAACTATTGGACTCAGTGACTGCAGTGCAGTACTACGAGGAGCTCAGGCCTCCCCTCCTCTCTGCCTTCCCTCTAAAACCAGAGTACCATCCTGAATTACAGCCCTGCGGCCCCAAAACTAGGTGCATGCAGAGCTTCCCAGAAGGATACGTGCGACAAGGCTTTCCAGGAAAAGCTTTTCTCTGGAATATGGTGGAAACCAAAAGCCTTTCATCAAACCCAGTTGATGAAAAGACCAGCAAGGAAGGGAGAGTTTTCTTGGGCCAGCACTGCTCAGGCAGGGCTGTGGAGCAGACTCTCCAGAGCTCAGCCAGCCAGACTAGTTGCATGGATGTACTGAAAGGTCCCCAGTGCCTTTTGTGGCAGCCAGAGCTGTGCTGCCCCAGCAGCCCTCCACTCAGGCTCGATAACAATGTCATGTCTGTTTTCGGGCTGCAGGAGCCACCATTAACCTGGATTTCACTCGGAATTTTGACCTCCAAAAGTTTCAAGACAGACTGGTCCAAGACTTCCTGAGCCAGGTATGGATTGGGAGGGGCTTAATGAAGCCACAAGCTGCTGGCCACACCACATCTGCTGCTGACTTGATGCTGGTGGGGCTGTTGGGTGGGGGATTATGCATCCCCAGCAATGCAGGGGGTTCAACCTCACCCCCCCCATCACCCTGCAGGGCTCACACCCTACATTTGGCCTCTTAGGTGAGCTGGCTTGCCGCGGGAGCTGGTGTAGCCTCCCTTGCCCTCCAGAACAGCCACCCTGGCCCTACCAGTACAGGGTGGGAGCAACTGCCAGCATGCAGATGGGGAAGGATGCAGGGGGGCTTGCTGGAAATCCTCGTTTAGAAAACACAGGAGGTCAGGGTCTAAATAATATGGGAGGTCAGCCCTTGCAGCGGGGATCATGCAAACAGAGAATCCCATGGCCTCTGGGTGGTGGTTCCCAGCTCTGCGCTTCATCATTCCCCAGTGTGCAAGCACTGGGTAGGTGACGGGCACTGGTCAGCACTCAGATAGATGTGTGCTCCACAAGGCATCGCTCCACGCTGCTGCTTGTCAGACACAGGCTGACATCCCTCCTCCTGGCTGGGAGCTGCCAGAGCGGGGAGGCGTGCTCTGAGTTACGCTGGGAGGATCGATATCAGAGTATTGCTCTCTTTATCCAGAGCTGAAAGGCTGCTGCCTGCCCTCCTCGCAGCCGCACATGTCTTAATACAACATTTAATGGGTGTGCTGTGTGAAATTGCTTTCTGGCGTGCTTGCCTCCATGGGGGGATGCTGTGTGCCGGGGGCTTGTCACAACTTGGAAAGGAGGGGAGATCTGAACATCATCTCATTTGAGAAATGCAATGGCACTGCGGTAAAAGGGATGGCAGCTTTGTGATGTGGTTCACATGAAGATTTATAGGTGGAGTTTGCTGGTGCATCCATCGTGGCTGACTGTAGAGGTGACTTATTTCTGCCTACCTCTCTTGGGCTTTACGTGTCTGCTTGTGTTTTGAAAAGCCCAAGTATGCCGGTGTGCAGATGGCCATATCCAAGGTGCACAAAGCACAGACCTTCCTGGGAGTCATACCCCGAAGCTCCACTCCTCTCATCCAAATCGTGCTGATCGATGATGAAGCAGGGGCACAGACAGGCACCACTGCAGAGCAGCTGGCAGCAGACATCATGGAGGACATAGCACAGCACGGTAATGTCGCTGATCTCCTCAGCAGGTCTCCCATGGGTGCACCTAAACCCACTGCTCTCCAGAGCTCCTTGTCCCCCACCAGCAGTCCACATGTCCAGCTGTATTTTGAATGTCTCTGAGGATGGAGTCTGCACAACATCTCCAGGCAACCTGTCCTCATGCTTGACCACCTTTGGAGTAAAACAGTTTCTTCTTTTATTTAAGTGAAATTTACCATGTTTCAGTTTGTGCTCATTGCCTCTTGCCCTATCACTGGGCACTGCTGAGAAGAGCCCAGCTCAGCACTCCACCTGTGTCTTGCCAGGGCAGAGCAGAGGGAAAGGGTCACCTCCCTTGACTTGCTGACAACCCGCTTCCTCATGCAGCCCAAGATATTGTTGTGCTACCATGCCATATCTGGTCATGGTCAGCCTGGTGCCTACCAGGTCCCTCTCTACAGAGCTGCTTTCCACCAGGACACTATGTGTGGAGGCAGCTATGTGAGCTGGCAGCTACTGAGGAGCACGTAGGTCACAGCCAGGGACCTGGTGGTTGTTGTGTGGGTAAGCAGTCCCAGACAGGCTTGTCCCAGAGGAGTTCACCCAGCTGTGCATCCCCCCCACCTCCTCCCTGGAGAAAGGCGATCAACCAGGTGAACAGTGCCAGACCCAACCACAGGATCCCTCTGCCCTGTGCACGATTCGGTGTGGGCATGTGTTGCCCTGTCCAGTTCTCACCCCTGTTTCTTCCTGCCCTTTCCCAGGTGAAGCACTTGGCATCTCGAGTGGCAAAATGGAGGCGGCCACTGGCAGCACTTTGAGCAGCCAAGTGGGGAGCCACACATTGAACAGGATCACAGCAGGGATGGTCTCAGGGCTACTCTTCGGTCTCCTGTTCCTTGGAGGCATCCTCTTTCTCTACAGAAAGGGAAAACTAAGGTAGGTATGGGGCTTCTGCTGGCAGTGTATCACCAGGCTTCTCCTGCTTGGGGGCAGCAGTGACCCCAGGCTGTCTTTCCAGATAGCCTGGTGGCGCAGGGGCACACAGTGCTGCCCAGAGTTCCTACAGTGGTGAGCATGGCCAGGCAGTCTGCTATACCCAACATTACTGGTTTGGGTTGGAAGGGATCTTTGAAGATCATGTAGTCCACCCTCCTGCCAGGGGCAGGGACATCTTCTGCTAGATTGGGTTCCTCAAAGTCCCATCCTGACTGACCTTGAACACTTCCAATGATGGGGCAGCCACAACATCTCTGGGCAACTAGTTCTGGTGTCTCACTAACCCCACACTGAAGAATTTCTTCCTTCTACCTAATCTCAGTCTACCCTCTTTTCAATTAAAACTGTTGCCCCTGTTCCTCATGCTTTATTGAAGGTGAGGTGGCTGAAAGGCACTTTTGTACTCTTGGACTGGTGCTTGGCTGGGGGGACTTGCTACCTGGTGCCATGTGGCACAGTGTGTCCTGGTGGGAATGAGGCTGCTGTGGCTCAGTTGGAGCTCTGCACAGCCTGGTCAGGCTGCTTGGGAACGTATCTCCTGTTCCTTGTAACCATTAGTTTGTAGTCCTGCTGGGGAACTGAGGGCTGAAAATGACAGCTGTTAAACAGAAATGCATCAAAATAATTCAAAGCACTCGTCCCACAGCTTTGTAGCCATGAAAGAGAGTGACACCACTCAGAAGCAAACGCAGCTTCTAGTCCGTTAGTTGCTCATGCTGCGTGGAGAGTGGTGTGCAGGTCCCAGGGCAGAGATGCACGGCACTTGACCTCACCACAGCTGGGCGCTGGTCAGAAATACCCTTCTCCATCAGCTTTTCCCCTCACAGCTTAGAGACAAGCTCCGGCAGGGAATAGGGCAACCCAGCAGTGCCCACAGCAGGGGCGTGGGGCACCCACCTCTGCTCCTCGCTCATGCACCCACCTTCGCGTGGAGAGTTTTGCAGGATCTTTTGGTGGACATCTTGGAGCCCGAGGCCATCCACTGAGCCACTGCTCATTTCACCTAACCCAATTGTGGGCAAGTGGGGTGGACCTTACATGTTTTATAAACAGGAGTGGGAATCACTTGAATTTGCATGTGCAAAGTGCACTGATGGTTGCCAGAGGGTGCTGAGCTACCCAGTGCTTGGGCTCCCTGTGTCACAGGCTCACAAGGCAGATTTTTTCCTCCCTCTCAGTTCCTCCTCTGGGGTGTTCTCGCCACACAGCAGCCACTATGGCCAAGAAGACTTGCCCTGCCGCTCGGCACGTGCTGACATGACATTTCCTAGCAATAAACCTGCGCCTTCATTTAATTTCTAAATAGAACTCCCAGCCCCATAATTGCTACTTGATGATTTATCTTCCACTGACACTTCTTTGGATGCTGGACAGGCCTTTGAAACTGGCTCTGTCAGCAGCGGGAGGGAATTTCGTGTAGCTGCAGGAGATGGAGCTGAACGTGAACCCAGGCCACGTCCCTGGCCGACCTGCTCCTGATGCATGTCCCCAAGTGGCTCTGGGACAGGGCCCTTTCGGGAAGTGCTGCCCAAGCATCGTGGAGGCATCTGACAGTGGGGATGTTGCAAATTAGGCAGGATGCTCTGGGAGACTGCAGAGTCTGCTTCCATGCAGCAGAGCCTTCCTGGGCACCAGCAAAACAGTGAATTTAGGCTGTTTCCACCAAAAAGGGCCTGGCACAGCCTCCCTGCAGATAGCACAGCTCCTCTAACTCCATATGTTGTTTTTACAGTGTTTAAGTACCAGTGGGCTCTCAGTACACACAGTGACGTGTGTGGAGCCACTGCTGAGCCCACCCGCACCAGGTGCCTGGTACAGGGGATGATGCTGGGTGAAAGGGATCCTTAGGGTAGGCGTGATGATGAAAATAATAAAAGTGATAATGGTGATTAAGTTGATAAAACGATAACATGATAAAAGTAATAATAAAAGTAATTAGTGCTGGTTGAAACTGTAATGGGAACAGATGTCAGCTCTGTGGCAATTAATTTCGGGCCACGGGGGGGATGGCTCCAAAGCAAAGCCTGTGCTAGGATTGTCTGATAAATTCTTCTTTCCAGGATGCAGGTCCTAACCTTCCAGAATTAATGGTTTCTACCCGGGGAATGGTTTTCCCTGGGGAAGAGTACAAGCATCCCCTTTCAAAGACAGCCTGAAACTCCTCCCCTCCTCCCCCTCGCCCATATTTTCCCATTCACCTCTTAAATATACAGGGTTTTCCCTGGGGAGCTGCTGGGATGGGAGGGATGCGGCTGAGTGACGCACAGGTCTCTCTCCAGGTTGCCTACCCTGCGCGTGCTCCAGCCCTGGAAGAGAGCGGAGGAGCCAGTGTCCCCTGCACCAGCCAGTGACCCAGGCTTCGACAACCCCATGTTCGATGTGGTGAGTCGGCACTGCCTGGGGACACAGGGGTGCTTGCGGACATGGCTCAAGCCAGGAGTGCCAGTGGGGCACCTAGCAGGGGTCCTCCTTTCCCCAGGCCAGGAGGGGTCGGTGGGATGGTCCCATCCTCCCACAGATCACCAGCAACTCGGCTGCTGCAGGGACTTGGTGCTGGGGGGGTTTTGCCAAGGGTTTTTGCTTCCTTTTCCCATCAATTCCTTCCCATGCTGCTGCAGGAGCCACCAAGTGTTGACTTTGAGGAGAAGGCACTGCAGGAGATGGCTCCCAAAGATCACCAGGTCTTCTACATCAACCCTCTGTACGATGAAAGCTATACGGAGACCTGATGGCATAGTGTCATGCTGGGGGCAGCCACCACCTCCCTGGGGACATGCACTGCTGCTTCTTCATCCCTCACAGGCCCTCACATCACTCCTGGTTGGATCTAAACCACAAGCAGTTCCCACCTGAATAAAAGTGTCTGCACAGCGAAGGGAATCACAGCAAATCCTCACTGTCAGGGCTTATCCACACAGTCATGGCCTCCCTGGTGTTGCTTTTGGGTTTTAAACTGTGTTTTGAAGGTACGAGTCCTTTTTGGACAATTCAACACTGATATTTCTGTCTCTGATATCTGGGGAAGCTGGGGTCTACCTCAGCACCTTGTGCTTAGCCAGAACCATGCTGGATTTGCCCAGAGCATGCAGCCAGTTGAAGGGTATATTCCTGGATGCACGATGGAAATTCAGTGCTCAAACACATTTCAAAATGTGGCCCAGAGCCGTCAGGGCTTGGACCCATTAGTTGTGTTTAAAAGATTATTTTGCTTTCCAGCAGTGTGCTCTGTGTGGGGGGATCTCTGCTTGGGGTCCCCCATTCCTCCTCTCAGGGACCTCAATCCTGTCCCCTGGGTGGTGGCATGAGGTGCAGTCCTGAGCAAACATCTCCCTCCCCACCTGCTTCACTGAGCTGCCTGAGCTGGCTCCTTCCCTCTGAGCTCAGGCTGACAGTTATAAGGACCTTCTTGCACCTACCTGGGGATTTATCCTGTTATTCCCTGCGCTGAGAGAGCTCATCTCTTGGTATAAGGGGAAGAAGGCTTGGTGCTGGTGCCGAGGGTCCCTGGGAAGGGATGAAGGCAGGGACCCGACAGCTGGGGACAGTCACTCCGGCCCATCTTTAAGAAGACTTGAGGCAGCAGTGGCACTGAGGAGCCTTGTTAGTGGTGGCATTTGTGGCCTAGCATGTGTCAAATACCTTCAGCTGCCTGCAATGTCAGGCAGTGCTTCATTACGGGAGCAGGTCTGATGGGTGAGACTGAAATTATGGAGATGTATTCAAATTTATGCAAATTTACACTCTGCTGGGTTTTCACTAGGGCTTGTTGGCATATTCCATAAGGAAGAAGCTATTTTAAGTTTATTATATTTTGTTCTTGTCTGTGGAAGACATAATCCATTCTCAAAGGCCCAGGAATACATCATCAGGCGCATCAGAGCCCTGACGGATGGTGACGGGCAGCACACGGTGGTGATATGGGTGAGAGACCTGCGGTAGCGGGCAGTGCCAGCAGGCAGGACACACAACATGAGCCAGGCCATAAACAGGATCAACTCTGTGCCACCCAGTTCCTGCCGTAACTTTGGAGTGGGGCAGAGCCAGGGCTGGGAGGAGGTGTGTGCTTGGGGGTGCACCGGTGGGATTGCACCATGCAGGGCTCTCCTGAGGGTGCCTCCCTGGCAGCAGTGGGATGAAAAGCAACTTGCCCTGCGGCAGGTGGTGACTGACACTGGCAGGTTGGGAATACACAAGTTCCACCACCTGGTCCCGCAACAAGTGCTCACCTGTGGAAAGAAGTGACCCAGGTCCCCAAAACTCACCCCACAGCACGCGGTCACCCTCATGACATGAACCCAGGGTAGACGCCCACAATCCCCAAGCCCTCATCAGCAGCTCATGGCACTGGACAACACCCCACAGCTGGGGGCCGAGGACACACGGTGCAGCACAGCCAGCCCATGGGTTCTCATCGGTGAGGCGCCGGTGCCGTGATGTTACCATGGTGCCTGCGAGAGCAGCTGCAGCATCCCCAGGCCCTGCGCCATGGCAGGGTCTTGCTGCAGAGAGGAGGGGCTTTCATATCTGTACGGGCAATGTGCTTCCTGCCTGTGAGAGCCTTTTTGTGCTCTTTTCCCCCTTTCAAGTCAGTTAATTGCAAGAATGACTCTCTTCTAGCATACAAGTATTTAAATACACATACACATATACACACACAAGTTATTTTTCCAAAGCCAAGGCCAAGGCCATGCTGGAGGCTGTTGCATCAGGTAGCCCATCATCACCCTAGTGCTGTCCCGCACAAGGAGAGAGCTCAAGGCCATCTCCTCAAGGAAACTCTGCCACTCACCCACAGCAAACCATTTCCTTCCCTACATTATTTCTGGGGCCTCTGCTCCAGGATTTTGGTGGCTGCGTCCCCATAACGTGCTGGGGGCAAAGAGGCAGAAGTGACCCGTGGTGCTGGAGGAGGGAAAAGACAACCCATTGGCAACAGGGACCATCGAACAAGCTGGTGGCAGGATGGCATGTTTCCCCTGTGAGCAGATGAAGCTATCAGCTCTGTGTCCTGCCTGGGCGCGCAGGGATTTCAGCAGGGACACCCTCTGGGGACTTGCAGTCACCTGCACAGCCTGCACCCCTCCATATCGGGGCGTACAGATTTGCTGCTGGCAAGGCTTCGTCTTTAAAATGCATTAGCAGCTCGAGGTCACTTACAATAGAGGCTTTAATTAAAGTGGAGATCAATTTTTGTCAGCGTGCAAGCAGAGCACATTCTGTACTTTTCCTCCAGGAGCCACGTTCGCTCGCTCACTCGCTCACACAGAAAGCGTCACAGGGAGGGGTCAGCTCTGCAGAAAAAACTGAAGCACCAGAGTCGGTTTGTGGTACCCGGGGCCAACAACTGCTGGAAAAAACAGCTGTAGCCATGGTCACTACCCTGCGCACTAGCGCAAGCAGACAGCCTGCCGTGCAGGCAGAGAAATGCGAAGGGTTTTGGTACGCCGGAGTCTCTCCTGGGATCGTACCTAAAGAAGGAATTTAATTCGCAGACATCTTTGCTAAGCAGATGGGTGTGTTAAGTCGCTGAGGCTGTGTGTTGCACGTCTGGGCACCTGGTGGCTTTGTTTTTGCTCTTGGTCCTGAGAGCCACGGGTCCCCTGCTGTGACAGACTCATACAAAATGCATTAGTGTTAATGGCAAGATCTCAGGAGTCGTTGATTCCCAGGGTCCTAAAAGAAAAAGCAACCTTCACGCTATTAACAGACACCGGCTTGCATCATTGTGCCTTCGCTCCGCGCATCGGCGCTGGTGGAACTTGCGCAAATCCCGATTCACACCTCGCAGCAGGCACCAGTGCCAAAATACCACCAAGCCTACAGACAGCCTTGGCCCAATGCATTTTATTTTAATTTTTAGCAGGAGGTAGCAGCAGCGAAAGGGAGGGGATTTGGCAGGGGCTGG